GCGCTGATTGGACGCGGCGCGGAGGGGGCCGATGGAAGGCGGGCGCTGATTGGACGCGGCGCGGTGGGGCCGATGGAAGGCGGGCGCTGATTGGCCCCGCGCTGTCCCCGCACGCTGAGGGACCCGCGCCGGGCCGGTGCCGGGTTCGCGGCCGCAGCGGGGCCGGTCCCGCCATGGAGGAGCCGAGCTGCGGGGCGCAGTTCCGCGCCGCCGTGCAGGTGATCCAGGGGCTGCCGCGGAGCGGTGAGTAGGGGCCGGGACTGGGGTCGGACRGGCGCGGCGCCGGCGGCCCCGCTGAGCCGTGTCCCGCAGGTGCGTACCGGCCCTCCTACGAGGAGATGCTGCGCTTCTACAGCTACTACAAGCAGGCGACGGCGGGGTGCTGCCAGGGCCCGCGGCCCGGCTTCTGGGACCCCATCGGCCGCTACAAGTGGTAAGAGCGGGGGCTCCGGGCGCGCTCCGGGTCCGGTTCCCCGCAGCCCCGCTGACGGCCGCCGGCCCCGCAGGGACGCCTGGCACAGCCTGGGCGGGATGTCCAAGGAGGAGGCGATGGCAGCGTACGTGGCCGAGATGAAGAAGGTGGCCCAGAAGGTAACGGGGCGGGCGGCGGGGCCGGGCCGGGCGCTGCGCGGTGCCCGTGTCCAGCCGCGGCTCTCCGCAGGTCATTGACACCGTGCCCATGGACGAGAGCACGGAGGAGATGTTCCGCTACTTCGAGCCGCTCTACGAGGTGATCCACGACATGCCCCGGCCCCCCGAGTCCTTCTTCAAGAGGAAAAGGGGTGAGTAGGGGCCGCTGCGCCCCGGCTGTGCCCAGCACATCCCTGCCCTCGGCGCTGTCCCCTGGCACGGCCACCGCCTCCGGGTCCTGCCCGTCCCCAGGGCACGTCCTGCTGCTGCTCCCCGAGGGAGGATCCACCACACGGCCCAGCTGTGCCGAGGGGCTRTTTGTCCAGAGCCGTGTCCCTTCATGTGACACGGGTGTCCCTTGGTGTGACGCTTCATTCTGGGCCTTCTCTCTGCAAAACTTTGAGGCSAGAATTGGAGATTTGGCTTCCAAGCGGCCCTTGGCTGCAGTCCCTGTACGCAGTGGGCCAGGGGTCAGCTCCCGGGGAGGCTGTGCCTGCCCTTGGCTCTGGCCCAGCCCCGGGCAGGACTGCT